TTATATAGCCTTAAAATATGGTATTCTGAATCCCTGCAAAAGACTATGGACATTTTCCACTGTCATTTATATCTCTACAAGACTTTGGGAGTGACAGCACCGTGCCAGGTATAAGGTCTGTCAGATTTTTGCCACAGAGAGAGAATTTTGTATGACTACCTCATTTGATGATTTTTGTCTTAGCCTGCACAGCTTCTTCCTCAAGGTGACGGGTTTTTTTCATTCACTGACACACAGTCAGATTCTTCCTTCCATTACAGTTCAATGTGCTTAAATTAAAACAAACTTTTACATAATATCTGACCTTCTTTTGAATAAATACCTGAAGTACATGAAATACAGGACACCTGGTGTACATTCCCCTTCTCCTTTGTAGCATGTAAGCTGAAAACATCATAATTTCAGTATACAATGACTTACCTTTATAGTGTTTTGATGTTCTTGGCCCAGTTTTACCTTGTAATACAAGCAGTCTGTCCAGGCAGATGCAGAGGCACCATTAGTCACCTGGGGTTAGCACCAAGGTCTGTGCTCCTCTAGCACTAAGAGACCCCAGTCTGTTTTCTCCTCTGAAGCTAGGTTGAGGACTTATAGGACTTCTGCATTTGTTGACCCTCTTCAACAAACGTGGGTCTCAGTGACTCCTGGAGGCTCTATTTCTGATGGCTACATGCTGCTGTCTTGTCCTCTGCCTTGGATTTAGTGCCTGTGGCTGGACAGAAATCCTGTGTACACAGAGAGTGGTACTTTTGCTACTGTCTAGGTGTTTTCTTCCACTAAAGTTCCCTTTCACTGCTATTAAGCGTCTGATTATGCAGCACAATTCCCTCTGGGATTATTTCAGCTTTGCCAAATTAATATTAATTATGAGGTCTTTCATAAGGTCTTTCATAACTTCTCTCTTGAGTTATGAGAGACACAGAAGTGCTGCAGTTTTCCCCATATCCTGCTTCTGTGCTGATATCAGGTCAGACTGAAGATGTCCATGCAAGAGAAACACAAACATATTTGAAATGCTGCTGGAGACACGGTACGCACAGAGGGAGAGCTGAAATCGCATGAGTGAAGAGTTAAAAGAGGAATCTTTGAAAAGTTACTATCATACATCTATACATTTAGAGAGATGCTGAGTCCAAAAACACGGCTCACTTCATATTGCCTGATTCTGAACCTCCACTGAGAAAATTTCTTAAAATTTCCTAAATTTTCCTAAAATTCCTCTTCCTAATTCAACAGGATTTCTTTACTCTAGGAAGAGTTGGAGTTTAAAACAGAAGGCAAGTGGGTGCCACGTAGCCTCACTGACTCTTGACCAAGCTCACTGCATTCCTCGTGTCTGCAGCGAATGTCTCGCCACCAGAGAGCACATCAGAGCTGACAGTGACACTGCTGAGTACAGCTGGCTGGAAAAACACCTTCACACTCTTTTGAGCTGCTTTCAGAAATATGAAAATAATTAATTGAACTAACTGTTCTGAAGACAGCGATTGGCTTAACGGGTGGTGTTTCATCAACTGTCACCTTAGTGTTTTAAATACAAAGAGAGAAATCTTTTCAATCCATTTTAAGAACTAACAGTACAATCTGATTCTGCCCATCAAGCAGCAAACTGTGTGTTCTGGAGGCTACTGTGGTACTTCTGGCTGCTACAGCTGTACTACGTGCTCATGCTCTGCCTGCACATGGGTGTGCAAGAGGGGACAGCCTGGTAAACTCTTCCTACAGCCAGGGACTGCTCTTTCCCAACCCCATCCATCTAACTGGTAACTTGCTTTTGATGCCTTGTTTCCCCCGTGTCAGCAAGACACTAAAACATTTTCGTTAAGCACGAGCTCAATGAGACTCTGATTTACGTCACATCTTTCTGGTATTAGGGAATCCGAGCATCCTGGAACCAAATGCTATGCAATCTGAGTAGGACCATACCCCGCAGCCTCCTCTCCCTCTTCTTACAGCAGGGACAGATGCACCCAGCTGTGAGGTCTGGAAGAGGTGGAGCAAAGTGAGGAGAGGAGAAAGAGGAGGAGAAAAGGGCCAGAAGTGTCATTCAGCTTATGCATTTTTCATTACTCATGAAAGGTTGCAAACCAGATAGATAAGCTGCAAATACACTATTTATTAGTTCACTCACATGACGTGTCCCTCCATCTTCAGTTATCTTGTCTTACTTCCAAGGCCACGACGTGCATAATCAGCCTGGAGATTGGGTCCCTAAATCTTTCAAGGGTTTATTAGATGTAGAATTAGAGGTTAGCAGCGTGTGCTGCCTTAGGCATCACTCAGTCTTAAGAGAAACCAAGATACAATGGGTTATTGCTTTACAATCACCCCGAAAGCATGAAATTCAGTAATTCACCAAAGTCCCATGTAGTGTCTTAATGAGAAAAATCCAAGAAAAGGGGGAAATAATTCTGGACTAATATAACTCCAGGGGGGGAGGGTACACACACTGGTATGTACCAACAGTACAACTGGAAAGAACTTCCCTTGCTTGCCCTAGAATAAGCTTCTACACATCACAGAGAAATACACTTGTTTTATACTGTTCATCTCAGGAGCTGCAGACATAAAAGTGTCTAAGTCTGATTGTCTAACAAAACCAGAGGAGAAAGAAATTGAATATGAGAAACAGTGTTAACCCAAAATGATAAATACAGTTCTACTAATGAACTTCTGTTAGAAAGGAAAAATAGGAAAATTATCATTCTGGCTAACCTATCAATGTCCTTCCTTTAGCATCTCTCATCTTAGTATGTTAAATTTTGCAAGGAATTTTAAAGACAGAACATTAATAATTCTCCTCATCCTTCCTGCAAGACATCTATTTGCTTTGTGGCTCCGGGGTGCATGTTTTAGGACATTATCAGTATATCTTCTTATTGCCAGCAAATAGTGGCTGTCCTTGCAGCGAGATGGGGACATCTGATGGTTTTTGAAGTTATATTTTTCCTTATACTGAGGTGGAATTAAGAAATAAAGAGTAGAGTCAAGCAGTATTTCTGAAGAACATAGTTTCAGAAGAAACCATGAAAGCTCATTGCTGTAGACCAGAGACCTTTCATACTTATCTACAACCTCAAGTGTGCTGCAAAGCCCTTACCAGTGGGTTTGGCACGTTGACCTGTACCAAGGTCGTTAGAAGAATCAAAGGCAAGGATGCTGACTTTGACTTGAGTACTTCTAGCTCCAAGAAGGTGTCATGGTAACTGCACACAGTCAGCACTGGGTAAAGATCAGCTTTCGGCTGATCATAAGGTCTTCTGCTTCCTTAGGGTTATGGCTTTCATGCCCGACATCGACAAAGTGGTGACATGGCGTCCACAGGGAAACTGAGGCTCCATCGTCCAGTGCTGGTCTGTGGCAGTGATCTGTAAAGCAGCTATTACTGAAATGCAAGTGCTGAGATATAGTTAAGCAGGAAACTGGCCTGAAGGTCATCAGAGTCTCACCATAAATCAGGTGTAATAGATTACTATGACCACCTCAAAGTGGTGCACTGGAGTCTGGAATTTATTGTAACACACCAAAAGCAAAAGAAAGTTGTTTCCCTGGTTAGATTCTTGGCCCTGGATCACTACTGACCACCAAACCTGCTACAGGAATGAACAGAAAACCAAAGAACTTCCCTGCAACCTCCTTGGACTCTGATTGCTCATCATGACATTGCAAAGCCAAAATCCCAGCTATCGTGGTTGAGCCATTCAGCTTCTTCACAAAACACGGCTATCGTTAGCCTTGCTTTTGAAAGCTACTGTCTTCTGAAAAACAGAGAGAAACCAACGTTCTTCCTCTCCCAGAGCAACAAAAAAAATCTGTTTCTTCAACTGAAATCTGACAAGTTTATAGAAATAGAGTGGAAACAGATACCATTTGCACACAAAACGAGCCCCCAGCCAAAATATCACGAAAAATAACTGTATTGCTAGGAAAATACAGATGTTCCTAAATATTTGCAGCTTCCATGCATCAGCAAACACAACAGAGCAGATTCATGAAGAACTTTCTTTCCACACAAAATAAATAGACAAGCAAAAAATTACTAAGAGGTAGCAATCTTCAGGTGAGTGATGGTCAGGCACAGACAAGATATCTGTGGACAGATCTTAGCTGGTGGTCAGAGTCTGGAACAGGAGGAGCAGTGAGGAGATGTGCTGAGCTGGCGTCCAGACCTTTTGGAGCTCTGGCCACGAATAGGGTTGAGAGCAAGAATTTAGAGAGTCCACCTGTTACGCTGTGTTTCTTTGGAAAAAGAGGTATTACATTAAGATTGGATTCTCTAATATAACATATAAACTATACAAACATCAGTGTTACCAAACTTCAAAAGCACCACAGATGAAACAGCTTCTCTGGATCAAAGGTTTATTTTTAATGACACAGCACTGGAAAACATAAGTTACAGATGATTTTTTTTTTGATACAGGATACATTATATATCTTATTTTAAAAGGATCTGTGAAGGTACGCTGCATAAATACATATAGTGAAAATATAGTGTGTTTATTTCTTCTCAGAGACTAGTTCTGTTGGTTTGGTTTTTATTTTTTAAGTTTATTCAGCCAATTAAATAAAAAAAGTCTAGATTAGCATCATAACAGCTCCCCCTTCAGATTATCTCATTGTAACTACTGCAGCTGGAAGGGGAGACCGAGCCATGCCTTTTCAAAGGTTTAGCAGCTTGGAACATGATGTTATTCATCATCATCATCTCAGAATGAAAATTTCACGTGACGACCACAGATACTGTATCATGTTTTGGCAATGGAGCAGCTAGTTTTGCTTGGGAACAAAACTTTTCCCTGTAATGCCAGACAGTGAAAGAGCAATGCAATGTACTGGTGACACTACACACTCAAAGAACTACGATGAAGTTGTGAAAATGCATATAGATCCATATGCACTTATATATACACGGACAAGTTCTTGTGTGTGTATATATATATATATATATATGTATATATATATTACGCATGTCCAAAAAATAACATTGAAAAAAAAACGTTGCAGCAGTTAATTATATTTTTAAACACTTGAAACTCATAATAGTGTGACCTCATTACTACAGGATAACTAATTCAATCTTCTGCAGTGCAACTCAAGACAATACACTTAGTGCAGAGAAGTTAAGGTTTTGGTATTGAGGAGGCTAATTTCAGATTTCATGGGAAAGGACCAAATACAGGATCACCATAGCTCTGACAAAGCACAAACAAACCTGTTGCCACGTACGTGTGAACAAATAAGGACATTTCTTTATTTTATTCGATTTTTTTTTCCAGGTACTGCTCCAGCAGTTGCTAGCTTTACTGTTTGCATTCATGCTCATTCTGATATGTTTCGACACGCTTTGTCTGGCACCAGTCTGTAAACAGCTTAAACTACAAAAAGGTGGGCTCCTGTGTTTCAGAGAGGTTAAAAACCTACTGACTGAGCTTCGGATCACGTTCCTCTGCCTGAGTCAGGGAACTACTCCAGGTGGCGCGTGAAGTTCTCTGGGAAAAGTCCTTTATAACTATTTGCATCTCTGTACTGAAGCCACTCGGATTCCTTAATGCCTGTCAACCAGCCAGCCTCCTGCAAGCAAACAGAGAGAATCTCTTAAACTTTAGGTCTCCCCCGACCTTCCTCGCTACGAGCTTCAGACCTGAAGACATTTCAGAGTCACGTGGCTAAAAGATTTGGTGTTTTGGTTAAAAAGCAGCTTCTGATTTTGCACAGATTGTTTTCTTTGTTCTGCCAGACCACAGTCTTGTGAGACCGAGTGACTGTCAGCATATTGAATGGCCTTGAGCCCACCTAACCCCTCGCTGAACTGGATCATCAGTCTTCCAGGTCATCCAGTATTATACCAGATCTGCATTTGTGCAAATCTCTGTTGAAACTTTTTTTCAAAGTTCCCACAATAATCTTGGTGCTCTTGTGCAGTAAGGACACAGCAGTGGCTCAGAAACATCACACAATACCACACATGGGAGGGAAAAAATCGTTTTCAATATGATTTTTTTTCCCCCCGAGAGTTCTTTTCTCTCATTCATGGATTGGCAGTCAGAAGCAATAACAGTTTTTGCATTCTCTGGAGTTACTGTCTCTAGGAACTCAAACTTAGTTAATATTCAACTATTTTTTTCAAAAATGCCTGGAAACTTAAATCAGAATTTGCCAAGCAAAAATCTCAAACCAAACCTGCAGCCCAAGCAATAAAAAGAGATTTCTTATTGGAAAGTGCTGGGCTGTCTTACATCTTACCAGTTCTAGCTGGAATAAAATAAATTCATTAAAAAAAAAATTATCAAGCTATTCTCATCTCACTATGTTCTTTGTTCCTTTTAAAAACAGGAGCCAGAGCAAAGCCATGATGAACAGGGAATCTCTGTATTGTTATTGCACAGAGAGTACAGGAGGAGACAGAGCAACACGAATGGATCTTCAGGTACAACCCCAAGTTGTGATTGCTCAGTGGCGCTGTACTGGCTCTCTCTTCAGGTACAACCCCAAGTCCTGATTGCTCAGTGGCGCTGTACTGGCTCTCTGCCCCAAAATAAGCATCGTTACATCAGATACCACGCACGTATGGCATTGGCTGGGCACATGTAACTGGGGACACGTGTTTTTGAAGCCTGTGGAATATCTGAGAGAAAGGAGGTGGGAACTACCACTTTCTCACACAGGCAGAATTAATTGCACAAAGGAATTAACAGTTTTACTGGATAATAACTTCCATTCAAGACTAATGTAAAAATTGAAGCCTCAGGGTGGGACTGGTTTGCATTGAACAGGGAACACAAGGCTGATGTTATCAACTATATTAGAATTATGGTTTTAGACAGGTCAGTTTGGAAGGAGCATAAAGAATAAAAGATAGAAAGACTCTATATAAATCAACAAAGTACCTGGCAAAAGACACAAAGATTAAACTTTATGGTGATGTTAAACATGAAGGGCAAATATGTACTGAGTAATATAGATATGACTAGAACAGTTTCAGAAACATGAATATATAAAGGTTTATTTTCTCCATCACTGCACACAATTTACCCCAATTAATGCTAATGACATTCTGATGCACACCACAAGAGAAGAATATACTTCATGGATTCACCCGGTGAGGATTAAGCATATTTAACACATAAAATCCTAAAACCAGACTGAAGACAGAGAGGAGATTTTCCTGTCCTTATAGCAGTGTCCTATTCTGCAAATACTGATAACGAAATCAGTTGAACTGCCCATGAGGTAAGATGCAGCATAACTTCAATATGGATAACAGAATCTACCCCATAAAAAAGCAAAGGGCCCTGCTGAAAGAAAAATCTTTTATTCTGAAATAATTTTTAAAAAACAAAACATAAGAACAAATTACTTGTCTGTTGTATTAAAGGAAGCTCAGCCCAGATGATGAACACTGATTATTACCTCCGTTCGGACGGCATCAACCATCGAAAACATTTCAAATACAGTCCCCAGCACTCCTTGTGCTTAGGGCATTAGTATTTAGACTTATTTTAAGAAATATTCTTCATTCAGAGCAGTGCTTTTAGCTACCTCACTAGGCAGGACCCATTCCCCCACCTCTCAACCCCCAAATCAACAGGAGACTTTTCACCAGCACTCACAGATGCCCACGAAGCGGCCGGTGCTAACAGCGTGCCGTAGGCTTGTCCTTCTCTTTTAAAGCAGTGGCCAAAAAAATCAATTCACTTCACTGCAATTCAGTTTAACACACGGAACAAAATTGTTTAAAAATTCCCCTGAAACGTGTTGTTAAAACAAAATTAGATGTCTTAAATTAAATTAAGCTTGGGCAGAGTTAGGTTTAGAGGCACGCAGCAGACACAGCAGCACCTCCACACATTTTGGTTGTAGGACACCATAATTTGGACGCTGTCTTAGTGCTCTCTGTGGGTGACTTTGTATGAATTCTCCAAATGCACACGTAAAAGCTCTGAACACCTAGGGGCTGTGTAATCAGTTCTGCTGCAATGTTAAGGCAAGATGGTAAATAGCAACGTCACACACAATTTGTAAGTCATCTTCTGTATTAAGTCTATGTGTCCCTGTACAAAATCCACTACGAAGAAGCATCAAAAAAGCCCTAGAAATTATGCTGAGGTCGGATCCTGCTAGCAGCATGTATCTAGGACTTTAGCTGTAGCCAACTGTCTCAAATGAAACCAAACACAAAGACAAAACTGAAATCTTTGTGTTTTCTAACAGTAATGATACTCTGAATACACATTCCCATTAACTATAATCTGGGAGAAAAACATTGAGATGAAGAAAAATGGGAACAAAAGAAAGAACTGTATGTTTTTACCTGATCAGCTGTGGTCTCAGAAGGAATTACTAGTACAATATCTCCTCGTTTTAAATTAAGCTCATCACTGTTAGCTGCCTCGAAATCATGTAGAACTTCAACCTGAAGGAAATAACACCAAACATAGAGATATGATCTAAATAGAGATATTTTCTCGACGAAAACATGTTAAAACATTATTGAAAAAAAAAAAAAGGTGCCTTTTAATGCAAACATAGGGCTACAAACAGGTACATTCCAGTCGTTAATGTTGACATTGATTTGTGTCAAAGTTTTCTACTCCTATCTGGAAGCAGGGACAGCTTAAGTAAGTCTTCCTGAAACTACTGGAGGAAATCAAAGATCCTTTCCCAAAGTTACAGGGTCTGAAGGACAGATGACACTGCAACACCCCACAGGTCCTGCCACCCTTATTCCTTCTGTGTAAGGAACTTGCTTTCATTCCCCACTTACCATTACTAGAGCTGAGAGAGGGGCAGCAGGATTTGGCAAATAAAATTGTGAAAGACTTTTATTTAGTGAATAAAATTGGGAAAGAAAGAAAGAAAGAAAAGATATTTCAGAAGGTGTCTCATTCTCTTGTTGTGACCACTGGATATTATCCTTGCTGTAAACATCCATGGAAATTTGAGTGGGATGTACAGCACCCATTTCAACAGGTGATCAGAGGCCAGTACTGGGAACCCGCCCTGGAAACAGCTCCCACTTACTGGCAGATGGGTGTGCCAGAAATATCTGTCTTTCCAAAGGGGGATTATTAAAACATCGGCAGGATCAGCATTTCATTGTGAACTGGACGGTTTTAACTGAATGGTGCTACCTCCTGAAGAGGTGTGCTAGTCTTAATTTTCTCAAAGTACAGCCAGTTCCATGGTAACTCTGCAATAATGGAAAAAAAAACCAAAATGGCATTAAGAGCCAGATGGCAGACGTGTATTCTGCTTCTCCTTGTTTATGTCTGACCCAAGAGAGTGAGGAAAAACAAAAGATGAACTACGTCAGCATATCTGAGTCAGAATTGCACGATACCGTTTGCCGTCACCTTAATGTTATCCTCAAAGTTTGCCAAAAATATTGAGCAATGAGAAGAGGCCAAGAAGAATGGCATACTTACGGAGTGCTGGGGGACTAATTAGTCTGAACTATGCAAATTATAATAGGAAGCATGTAAAGTTCAGCTGTCCTCAAGGAGCTTTTCTGTTGCTCAGCGATTCTGAAGTGAGGAGCATTATCAAAGAACCTTGCGAAGCAGGAAACCCTGAGGGTCTTGCCAGCCAAGGGGAGAATTTCTCTTACGCCTTAATTAAACTCTCCTGTTTGATGACGCTAACAGTTTAGAGCTAGAATATTACTAAAGTCACAGAAGGACATTTTGCCTTCATCACTGTGAACTGTAAAAGTCCCGTGGGTTTCAACAGAACCAGAACTTCCACTACAGATTTTCAGGCCAGAAAAATGTCATTTTTAAATATCCACAGAATCACAGAATGGTTTGTGTTGGAAGGCACCTTAAAGATCAAATATATTGTTATTATATGAGATATATTGTTAGTATATATCATACAATATTGCTGACTAACTGTGGCAGTGCAGTTTTACTCAATATATTAATTTTTGGTAGTAATTTGGTGAGATGAAAGGGTTCTTGTACTTCAGTGAGTCTTACAGCTACATAAGGATACGCAGAGCAACAACAGCGTGCAGAAATTGTATCTTCTCAGACTTCATGTGTATGTTGTATGAAGCAACAACACAATGTTAGAGTTGTGTTTGTGTGTATTTGCATGTGCACGCATCTGCCTGGTAAACAGAGCCTTCTTGGGCCTCTAAGCTACCATCAGGGCCATCAGCGCTACCTGCACAGACAGACGCAGCCACAGGAGGCCGAAGGAATCTGAAGGGATGTCTAGTTGTGGATGCCCCCTCCCTGGAAGTGTTCAAGGCCAGGCTGGATGAGGCTTTGAGCAACCTGGTCTAGTGGAAGGTGTCCCTGCTGCTGGCAGGGGGGTTGGGACTGGATGAGCTTTAAGGTCCCTTCCAACCCAAACCATTCTATGATTCTAAAAGAAGAATGAAGAAGCAGACCTTAAAGAGAAAGCCGGGTGGCATCGCAGAAGCTGTGTCTTCTGCTGGAACAGTCTGATCTTGAGAAGGTGCAGCCTGGACTTCTTCAGCAGGTTTCTGGTCACTTCCAGCTTTGGAAGTTTCAGTGGGAGAAGTGTCAGCGCTCTGAGTGCCCATCTCTGCTGCGGCATCTTTGGACTCATTGACAATGACTTCGTGTTCTTCTCCCTCCCCCTCGTTGTTGGATGCTGGCTCTATTACTACTGAAGGGATGCTGCTGACCTTTTCCTGCGGGGAAAAAAAATAAAATAAAAAACAACCGTCAGAAAAGCATCACAAGAGTATTTAGTATTTTATTTCAAGCAGAAAAATGCAATTGTCTGTTTATTGCACAGACATAGGTGGGAATGGGGATTTCTTTCTTCGCCATAGTGGATTCTTACATTAAGACAGAAAACAGTACTTGTGCAAGAACGTGAAGGAGTAATCCAATCCCTTCCCTGTTTTCTCTATTACCCTTAGTAACCCTTACCTAAGTCTACGTTCTGTATTACCACCAGTCATTGCAGTGAGTAATAAAAATGCTCTGCAGGTAGTTTGGGTTTCATTTTCAATGTGCATGGAACTTATCAGACCTTTCTCCTCTACCCTGCTCTTAACTTTGGGTGGGTTTGGGTAAAGCCACAAGTTCCAGCAGTCACTGTCCTATATTTCTTCGGGAATTCAAGGCAGCAGGATAATAGTGATGTAAAGGTGATGACCTATTTCTCTGACTGATTGAGGGGATTTCTCCTGATTTACGGCAATGTAACTTGGAGCAGGGAAAGCAAAAAGGCTCAGTAGGCAGCATCTGAGCAACAATGAAGCTGAGGACAAAACTCATTTAATGAAACTTCTCAAAGCATCCAACCTGAAAAGAACATGTTCACCAATCCTCTGCCAGACCATCCTGTTCTGGTGCACGGGGAAATACAATGTGCAATGACAGGAGGTGGCAACTGGCTGCCCAGCTGCAGGGTCTGCTCTAGTTGCTGTCCCCCCCCTCCTCAGAGGTCGCAGAAAAAAAGGCAGCAGGCCATTGCAGACACGGAGCTTGACCACCGTGATGTACCCAAAACAAAGCGATGCCATTGATAGGGCATGGTGCCAGGAGACAAGAAAAATGCATTCCTTTCTCTGTTTCTCCAGAAAGCCCTGTTAGGTTATGTGATAAAGCTTGTCTCCACAGAGGAGCACAGAGACACAATAGCAGGAGGAGAAGCCCAAACAACACCCTGCACATGCTGCTCCCAGGCCCACCACAGGAGCCATCAGCCCATCAAATTCCATCTTATCCCATCTCCACAAGCCCAGGGGAGCACAGGGGCACAAAGTCAGGCACAACCCAGATTAAGGACTCAGAAGAAGGAATACCCCGTGTGGGCACCTCCCAGGGCTTCCCAGGAGAGGCTCAACCTTGGACCTGGGGGCACAGAGCTGCAGCAGCCTGGCCTCTCTCAGGCAGTTGGATCTGTCTCGATTCCCCTTACACGCTCTCCTTTGCGCCGACATGAGTTACCTGAGACACATCAGCCTCCTTTTCTTCTCCTGGAGGTTTGTCACCTTCAGCAACACCTTCCTGCGCGATGGTAGCAACGCCGTCACCAGCTCCGGCTGCCACAGCTGCACTGTCTTCTGCTGCCTCAGCCCCCTCGGTGACAGGTACCACCTGCAAACAACAGGAGAGAGGGAATTTCAGGATATGAGTCCTCGATATCTGCTGGAAATACCTCTGCTCTGTGGGTGGTGCCAACCCACTGCCTTGGTTTCATTAGCAGAGTCCTCAGGTGTTACCAGTGGAGTAACAGTTTGCCAAGGCTTTAGTTTTTTGGGTTTTTTTTGGGGGGGTTGGGTTTTTTTTTCCTCTTGCCTTCAAGCTGTATTGTGGAAGAAATTCACCACAGGTTTCTGCTGAGGAAGAGGAGCTTGCAAGCTGTCCAGGGACCCACAGGACCCTGCTAGTGGAGTCTGTTCTTGGCAACAGGCTCTAAGCCTTCTCCAGCTACTATCATCTACCTCTAGACCTGGGCTGGCTTCAAAAATATTGCCTTAATTACAACCTCATTTCTAATAGAGGGACTTGCAAATCAAGCTATATCAGCAGAAGCCAATATATTCTACAGCTGGATAAAGATCAAAAATCTTGAGTCCATCAGATATCAGAAAAAAAATTTATAACTGTAAATATCTATAGCTCTGTCAGTATAAAAAACCAGAACAAACCTAAAAGCCCGTTTGGTCTGGATATGACTGAACCATTTGTGATCAGTCCATGTGGAAAAGTTAATGCAGGTTTTGTTCCAGTTCTTGAAAGGTTGATAGAAAAGTACCTGCCTATAGATCAGTGTTGAATCCTTCACCCAGCAGAGGCTGTTGTAATTTATCTATCACTCTAACGTTTGTACTGGTACATACTGGTATATGCTCACAGCAGCATGTTGGATATATCCTTACAGTGGATTAATCTTGAGGGTTGGAAGGTGGAAGGTAAATGACAAAACTCATTCCATTAACCCAATTAACTTCTACATGGAATTTTTAACATATGGCAGATATGTTTTACTTTATTCTTTACTAGGATAAAGTAAAAACACTGAAGAAAAATTGTTTTCTGGGGACCAATGTCAAGCTACAGCTGGCAGAAATATCGCTGATCTCTAGTTAACAGCCCGGTGCTCTTTGTTTCCTCAGTTTAATCTTTCCTCCATGGATGAGGCTAACTCAACTTGAACTACCTGCAATTGTTCATGGGCACTCTTCAGGGATTGTTTTTAGCAATATCTAATATTCAGCACTACTCCTATCTGCTGCTATTAACTGATGTGATAAAGAAATTCTTCTGGAGTCCTTGGAGGCAGAAAATACTACAGGGTTTTGTAGAAATCACTGGGGAAGCTTTAGTTTAAATTGAAAATGCTGCTGATGAAGGATGACCTATCGTAAAATGAAGTAACCTCAGAAGACATGGGCAGACGTTGACATCTTCTCCTGTGACTTGGAAGGCACGCAAGCCCCCCACTCATAGTATTACTAATTTTGGCAGCCTTAACCCAAGGAGATGTTCAAATAAACAATGAGTGTAAAAGCCCTGGAAGAGGCTAGTGGGAAAGAGGGAGAACAGAGTGCACATCCGATTGATTTTATAGCATGCACTATCAGCATGCTGCAGAAATTGATCTTGCTGTCTGTTGTGATTAGGATCAACACTTCTTTTCTATTTATTGGATTTGTATAGCCCATTTTATTTCACTAAGGAGGAGAATACTAATTTACACGAATCAGCTCTCAAATGCCCTGCACTGCAAGGGTGATGTTCTCACAGCCTGAAGCCACAGCTCACAATTGTGTAGTCGTTTGTTCTTGTGTCTCAAGAGTACAAAAACAATGCAAGCTAGATGATTAAAAAAAGCTTTTCTGAAAATGCAGGTGAAGGAGCACACAATGGATCTCTCCATCAGCCTCCAATAGATTTGATTAGGATAGAAAAGAAAAAAAGAGGGAGCCTGATCCCACTGAATTCATACAGAATCACAGAATGGTGGGGCTGGAAGGGACCTCAGGAGATCATCCAGTCCAACCCCGCTGCCAAAGCAGGTTCCCTCAACCAGGAAAGTGTCCAGGTGGGTTTGACCATCTCCAGAGATGGAGACTCCACACCCTCTCTGAGCAGCTTGTCCCAGGGCTCTGACATCCTCACATACCCAGCTATGGTGAACCACATACCTGCAGATATAGTTACCTGCATCACCTTCGTATTGAAAACCAATCCTACAAACCTCTTCTCCACAGGTCATCAATAATATCAGACAGTCCAAGAGCATTCCAAATTCGCTATCTCTAGCAGTAGTATTGAAATTTGGACAGTTGTCTCATGATACCAACCACACAGGGGACAAAGAAAGGGTCAGCCAGTGTAACGCGGGCTGTGATAGAAAACCACTTGACTGACTGTTTTAATTGCAGCAGAAGTCAAAGCACTTCAAATACATTTGAAAGACTCAGCCCTGGTGCTCAGGGGATGGTGAGGAATTTCTTGCATGTTTCTTCTTGGACCAGACTTGTTGAGAGTGACAAGACAATGCTAGAGAAGCAACGCAATGCTCTTCTGCTCTGTGTCAGCACCAAGCTGGGCTTGATCTACCACTCCCCTCCTGTACTTTCTTGCTAGGTTTAATTCCACTGATGTCTACATGGATGTGGCAGTGCTGGTACAGCACCAGTGAGTCCCAAACTCCCTTCTCAGTGACACTGGGATACCCTGGAGCCACAGAAATACCCTTGACTCTAGCAGAGTGAATGCTGTTTCACAGCAGGGTAACAAACCCAAGCTTGGGCAGCTGGGACTTACCCATATTCTGAAACCAAAGTGAATGGAAACCAGTTTAGGATCTTTTTGTATATATTGTGAGTCCAAAATGAGTAACAACAAGAAAAGAGGTTGTCAGCACCTCGAGATAGAAATCTTAAGTGGCTAAGGACTAGGAGTTCCAATCTCTTTCTTAGATCCTACTTCTATTCCTGCATTCAATACGTAGCCATTCCTCTTGTGCTGCTCCCTGCGCACGTTTGAACACGTTATAGTCTCACTTTAGTATAGAAGGACTCAGGGTAAGCGGTTCTATCACATCTTAAGAAACAGAAGCAAAATACAACCATTAGAGTCCATATATGCCCAGCTTCATGGAGCTTTTCAGTTCCTTTATAATTTGGTTTTAACTGTATTTAATTTGATGGCAGATTTGTGCTTTAGAAAAAAACCCAAAAGCCTTGTAAGATTATTATTTTCAAATATCCATTTTAGTTCAGGGAATATTGTGCTAAGAAAAATAAAAGCTTAATGAAATATTTTGTTCTTTTTATAAAGATGTTTGTGGGAAGGCCAGGCAAACCAATTTATGGAAAGTGTCAAAGCTACTGGGAATCTATGCAGCATATTTCTAAATGTCAATAGAAACAGCATTCTACCTCCCACCGCAGAGCTGCATTGTTCGCTGCCTTGAGATCTTTATCACTCTATCCCGCTACAACGGACAGGTCCTGCATTGAATGAGAGATGCTCTGCTGTTAGAATATGTTCTGCAGAGGTAGATATATCTGTGCAGGGTTAGAATACCTACAGATCAGCCTGCATATTGATGAGATGCAAATGACAACTCTACTTTTTGCCACGATTCTCTTGAAGATATTAAAGCATAGCCACACTCTTGAGGCTGTTCACATGTACCTCGCTCTCTTTCTCAGCAACTCCAGTTGTCTCCTTATCCCCTGCCTCGAGACTGTCCTGTGTAAAGAGGAAATACGGTCGTCACCTTAGTCCTGCTGAGGCAGTAGCTGCAGAGAAATTTATTAATCAAGCTTAATGGAAGCGTGGCATGTATGGGGTGCAATGAAATGAATAAGAGGAACTAAATGGGATAATAAGAGGAAAGATTCTTGCTGCCTCGTATCAGCTGAAATAAAAGTAGTTACAGGCTAATAAAATAAATAAAACCTTTTACTTCATCACTATCACACTGTAAGCACTAAGGACAATTTTATTTACTTTTGTTATCAGTATTCTCAGAATAGCAACAGCTTTGATGAATTTTTTAGCAAGCAACAACCCCAAAACACTGCTGACCTTGCAGCGTCCAGCAAGCTCAAATCTCTCCCACCCAAGACTCAAAAAACTGTTCCCATTATAACCTGCTGCAACTCACCAGAGTTTCAAGGTAAACTCTCTAAACCACTTCCTTCTTCCACTCATGTTGGTCTGCAACTTAAAGGGACTGTTCAAAGCCCCTTCAAAGGTCACTAAGTTCATCTTTTTCTGCAGAATCACCTTTTTTCGGTCCATATTCAGCAGTACATGCAGCAGGTGCCTGGCATTTAACAAATTAGATGCGTGTCAGTGGTTTTCTGAATCTGACACCCATTTAGATGTTGAAGGGATCAAATGCACTGAACACTGACGGGCTCCCCTCAGCAGCACTTTTTACGGCACAGATGCCATCTAACACTAGGTCTTTTCATAGAAATTATCATAGAATGGTTTGGATTGGAAGGGACCTTAAAGCTCCTCCAGTTCCAACCCCCCTGCCATCAGCAGGGACACCTTCCACTAGACCAGGTTGCTCAAAGCCTCATCCAACCTGGCCTCAAACACTTCCAGGGAGGGGGCATCTACAACTTCCTTGGGCAACCTGTTCCGGTGTCTGACCACCCTCAGAAGCCGTAAGACTGCCTGAGTTCATGGGTTTGGAAACTGGAATAAAAGGCACAATTCTTCCCTGAACTCTTTAGGGCAACTGTGCCTCTCCTGCTTTCTAATTCTACTGCAGTATTTATGAATTTAACTAGTGACTCAAACCAGTAACATCTCTTCTACTTGAGCCTGGATTCAGTTTTGGCTAGTGCTCTGCTTAGTCGCCAGGTTTAGGTCAACAAACTGTCAACACTGATAAAATTCAGGTCTGCTTTGGATGAGTTGGAAATGCTTTTTAGTTTTTTTTCTGTTCAGGTTCAAATCCCTACAGACAGAGGCTATTTCAAAAGACAGTTTGCTGAGGAAAAGCAAATCAATGCCTCATTATGGAAATCCACTTTGCTAATAAATTTCGAGGCTGATTTTGCAAACACAGCCAGGTCAGATTTTTAAAAGAGGGAACAGGTGAAGACAAGTTACGCAAACCTATATGAGGGCACGGGAGCTTGGGCTGTCCTCTTTAGCAATCAGAAACGAGGAGACCTCGAGCACTCAGGCTCCAGCTAAGTGCCTTCACACAGCCACAACCATCCCTCCAAAATTTCTACTAGTTTCAGTTGAAATGGTTGTATGTTTCTTTTTTAATAAAAGGATGCTGAGTTCTATCCAAACTTTGTATCGCTCATGGTTTTTTTTTTTCTAATCTAGTCTTCTAGCATTCCCTGCAGTCACCTCATAAGCCCCATGGCAAGGCAGATGCTGACAGCAGGTTACCATAGAAACCTCTCACAGCTTTATCCCGTTAAAATTGCGCTCTTATATAACCTTTTTTTAATGATTTTTTTTTTTTTTTAAGCTGCCAAGCCTCTGCCATGGAGTCCTTATTTTTATAATAAGTTTGAGAAGACCATAGAGGGTCTTAAATAGAAAAAAAACCAAATGTCAACAGCAAAATATAATGATTTCTTACTCTAGCGATGCACACAGCCACCCACAGAAGTTGTCTTATTTGTTTGGTTTGGTTTTGGGGTTGGTTTTTTTTTTTTTACAGAAGAGATGTACACAAATGTTTCTATTGCCTGGGAAAACTCTGTCCAACTGCAAGTAAGCAGACAAGTGCTTTCCCTCCTTTCACTATTCTAAAGTGCTGAATTTCTGCCATCAGCTGTATTTACAAGTCAATTTACCTTCAGAAATGAGCATCATCATCCTGCACTTTATAGTCAGGAACACATCAGCCTCTGCCCTTCTCTTAACAACACCCCGGCAATATTCTCTGGTAAGAATCCCATCAGCCCAGCTTTGGGCCTCTTTGCAGAATAATCTAATATATAAATATACATATTTTTAAATAAGTGTTTTCCAGGCTAATTGAAAGCAGAGTTTTGGTGAAAAGGGGGAAATCAAGGAGAGCTGCCCTTGCTTCCCAAAGCCTGGAACAGCCAAAAACTAATTTGACTATTGTGCACTAGTGGAATTAGTAGCATTTTGCTTTTGCTTTTCTGATTAGCTGGAAGATGGGATTTTTGTGGATGGTGAGGTTTGAGAAGAGAGGCACGGTACCATGAAGTGTACCGGTTTTAGGGCATGAAAGCCTAGTAAAAAGGAAGGCTGAAATAACATAGAATCATAGAATAGTTTGGGTTGGAAGGGACCTTAAAGATCATCCAGTTCCAACCCCCCTGCCATCAGCAGGGACACCTTCCACTAGACCAGGTTGCCCAAAGCCTCATCCAGCCTGGCCTTCAACACTTCCACGGAGGGGGCATCTACAACTTCCTTGGGCAACATCTGAGTAAAGGAACACAGCAGAGAAAAATCTGCTCCTGCCGACTTCAACAGAACAACACTGTTCTACACCAGTTCTTTCCTGTATACAAGAGCCATATATTTTTATTGACCTCATGCTCCAACTCTGCACTTAGCTGTACATTCACAATTTGGATGCAGTTGACCGAAAAAAAAAGACCGCACTTCTGTATCTGACCGTTGTTACTGCTCCTCCAAGTGACATGCTCTGCCACTTGGGCACTGTGAATTGTACCTACAGTGAGATTCAACCATAATTAGATACCCTCAGAGCTGTTTCCTGGCCTCTGCTCTACTTGCTCAGTGTCTGCAAAGAGCTTATCAGGAGGTAGTTTCATATATACCTTACACACAGCTTTGAAAACCACAATATTGAGCTGGGTGTCTGACTGCTTTAATGGGAGAACATCAGAGTCCAGGCAGGCAATGGATCCCAAACACTGAAAGGCTCTTTCCAAACTAATGAGCATCACAGAAGTCAAAAAGCTGATCTCTGAGCAGCGCTCTCTCAACTCCAAGCACTGTCTCACATGTAGGAGAAGAAGAAAGGGAAAGTACAGGATTGCATAAGCTTTTTTTTTTTTAATTATTATTTTTATTGTAATGTCCTCATGTCATTTTTGTTTGAACGTGAAAAACTGATGTGGTGGAAGGGGTAGTATTATTTGAAAAAGAAATAAATCAGCAGTTAATGCATTATATAGAATCACAGAATGGTTTGGGTTGGAAGGGACCTTAAAGATCATCCAGTTCCAGCCCCCCTGCCATCAGCAGGGACACCTTCCACTAGACCAGGTTGCTCAAAGCCTCATCCAACCTGGCCTTGAACACTTCCAGGGAGGAGCAGCCACAGCTTCTCTGGGCAACCTGGGCCAGTGTCTGACCACCCTCACAGGAAATAATTTCTTCCTAGTATCTCATCTAAACCTCCCCTCTTCCAGTTTAGAGCCATTTCCCCTTGTTCTGTCACTAACTGCCCTTATATCCTTTAGACTGTGTCCAGATTTTACAGCTGCCTTTGGGGATGCTATGGAAACAAGGAGACAACTGTTTCAGTGTGGAGAAGTCCATACAAGGACTTCTTACCATGGTTCACTTTGCCTCTGTTAGAGCACCTGGTCATTCTGTCCCTTTAATTACCAAACATTTTATCTTCTCTCCCAAAAGGATCAATTGTTGACAGCTACTAGTACGAACTTCACTTGTTCTATAGCATTTGAGACCTGAAGGACCAAGACAAAAATACGTAGCGAGATCTCAGGCAGCAATTCTGATGAGCTGATGTAACAAAGTCTTGGTCAATCGTGTTCAGGTAGACTATGAAACAGCAAGTAACCGAATCCAAATCTCCCTGAGCGGCAAGTGGGACCCTATCCCCTGGACCATTCTCTCCCTAATCTAAATGAAAACCCTACCAGAAAATTTACTGCGAAGCTCCTACAATGACAAATGCATAACGTAAATTTTCTGGATTAATGGGAAGTGAGAAGAAACTTACCACTGAAAAATTAAACTGATTAGTGGCTGTCACTCCAAACTGGAAGTTATTAAACTCGGTAAGAGATTCCCAATAAGAAATTATCTATCTATATTTTACAACTCCAATTTTAAAGTCAACTGTCACTCATAAAGCAAACGAATGTAGAACTGATGTCGAGGAATGACATGTTTTCATCTCCTGCAAATCAGTGTACTTTTCCTTAGCTTTGACCATATTTGACATTAACCTTCATCTTCAAAACTCTTCTTTGCAAGTCCTGGAAAGCCCTTCCTGAAGTAACAACCCCTCAGAGACAAAGGCAGAACGACTCCAATTCGGACATTTTTAAAATCAACACTTTTTGCTTATTTTCCCAAATTAGCAAGGACAACTTCATATTGAAAAAGAAAAAAAAAAAAAACAACCCCCAAACAACAAATAAAAAACCCCAAACAAGCACAAACCTAATTAAAACTGTTTAACTTCTATTTAATGCCAATGGTCTTCCTCCCAGATTGCTCTTGCACTGTGTTCCTCTCTGCCTCTCTCTCAGCAGCTCTACAGTCCTGTCCCTCGCTAGAGCAGCTGCTGACAAGACTCTGGACCCAGAACTCCTCATGGACAGTCTGGCAGCAAAACAGATCATCTGAGAAGGTCCTGCCAGCTGATGAGCGGATGCATGGTGCTGCAGCCATAGCCTGTCATTTGATTAGTGTTTAAGATGTGCAACAGGCTTCAGAGCACTTCTTTGTCTTAGTGTGAGAGAAAACGGAGCTGGCTTCCTTTCAGAAAAATGGTGAACTCCTTTCACAGGTTTTTTCTTCATTAAATCCTTACAGATAATCAAAATAAAACAATCTAGAAACAACCTTTTCAGCTTCATTCATATATGTCCTTCCACACTGTTCCCTGTCATTCACTCATGGGAAGAGGAGAGCTCCAGACCAATGACTAATTTCCTGTCCCTCCTCTCTCCACCTTCCCTCTTCTTCTTTATTCCAAACTACCAAATTTACTCTGACTAGATGTGAGGCATTCTGGACAAGAATTTGACAAAACGATGCGCCTCAGACAGGCAGTTTCATTCTTTGCCTCACTATAGAGTTGACAAGTTATTACTGTGATTTATATCAACTGAAAAGAAAACACACAGGAGGAGGAGAGCCTGGTCTCCACAGACCATGGGGCTTTCTTCATTCAGTTACGTTATTGGAGGGGGATGATCCTGAAGTCACTTGCTCCTGTGTATACCACAGAACTGAACAAAAGTGAATAATAATAATAATAATAATAATAAATACTCAAGATTCATGCAAGTGTAATCAGAATTAAACCCTAAATGTTCTGGGGAACACACTGAGACTGCTTCCCTCCATAACTGCAATGCTGCTAGGAGTCCACGGAGAAGAGACAGAATGTCTCTGTTATCCTCCAGAAGAGCCCACCCAGCACTGCCCCCCTTTCCTTCTACAACAAATTATTTTTCCTCCTACAATAAATTATTTTTCCTCTCTCAAGAAGATGAGAGGCAAGAGAAGAATGAATCAGGCAGGTGCTACAGCTAAAGTTCCACCTGTATCATTTGTGCTGGATACCACTTTTTAATCCCATGGCACAGACAGCTGGAACCACCCAGGCAAACTCATCAATTCATCTTTAAGAAGGTCTTTCAGAAACTACATTTGTACCCCAGAGTCTTGCACACCAACACTAGTCCTTCCTTCTGCTGAAGACAGTTTTACCTGTGGCTTTTGCATGGGCCTCACACTGCCAGCAGATAACCAGCCTGTCCTTGGCAGGTAGAGCTGGGCCTAATGCCATCCTCCTCAGTTAATGGCACTATCCAACCTGGAGTCGTCGATAAATGTCACCACTAGGCTTGTGTGTCAAATGCTTACTGAAACACCTAAATTTTATGATGAATTGGATATCATCATCCCTACTTAGCAGGTGAAGATACACAGGGACTCATCCAAGGCCAAGAGCAGCTCAGCAAGCTGAACCTTGTTCTTCAGGGAACATTTATGGCACTAAGCTGTGCTTGATGGTCAAAAACTGGCTTCTGCAGCAGAGGAACCAACCCACAAAACAACCCCTTTTTCTGTCCAGTTTTTCAGCAGTGATCTGCATATTCTAACAGTGACAAACACTCATTAGAGGCTTTGAGCATGTTATTGGCTCGAGGAAAGCATGAAAACTGTCAGCCTCACAAAACCATGCATTTTTCCTCCAGGGTTTCTTAGCCTGTAGGTATAACCTACAGTTGTATGTAGAAGAGGAACCTCAAAAGGACAAAAAGGAAATTCACTGAGATACCTGTTCTAAAAAGGGATGCTAGTGAGCAGAAAAACCCTACAGGTACCATCTCAAACCATCTCTTAATTTGTAGTGATATCAAGTACCCTGCTTTGTTCTCCTTGCAGAGCTCTTATTTCTTCTCCTCCCACTGTTTCCTTAATGGTGACATGGAAAAATATCCAAAATGACCCTTGGAGTCCCCTCTTCAGCTCCCGGTTGGTTTCTAAAACCATGAGCCTTGTAGACACTTGTATTACGATCACTTTTTCCTGGTATTGTCATGCTCTACACACAAAATGTTACATTGGCATAGTGCTTCCAGCTCAGCTTGAAATGAAATGAGAAAACTGCTAAGGAGGTCATTTACAAATGGCATCAATTCTTTCCCCTTCTGAAGTTCATCTGGAATTAAGGAATCTGTGAAACCACAATCACTCAGTTGAACTTCAGTCTAAAATGCCAAACACAACAGGAATGACATTTGAGGGCTGAAAGGAGGACGTGTGCTGGACAGGCATGCTGTGACCCAGCTGGGTGCTGGGGAAACCAGCCATGGACAGATGGTGATGATGGAAAGGATGGCTGAAATGCAGCAGGCACATTCATGGTGGTGAAAGGTGGCTTGGATGGGACCTGGCAGGTGGCACGGGGGGACAGGTCACTCACCACAGCCTGCTCTGCTGGCTCAGCAGGCTCAGCAGGGACGGTCTCCTTTTCCACAGCAGCAGCAGCAGCAGGGGTTTCCTCGACCTTGACATCCCCAGGTGGAGCTTCTTCAGCCTCAGTCTTTTGTTTTATTGATTTTTAAGTAGATAGGGGAAAAATTGTTGAGGAGCACATGATAGTGCGGAGGGAGAAAGGGAATGGGAACTGTGCCTGGCACAGCTGCTCCAGGCTCAATCTTGCTGGGCTTTGCCAGGAAAAGGACGGTAGGGCTTGGCCTTACAGCATCTAAAGGGCATTTTCATCCTTCATGTTCTACATGTAAACTGAGCCAGTCCTACACCCCTCCCTCACAAAGAAAGCAAGCAGCAGCTTCCTGAGTCACAGAAAGGGGAGATGGAAGTGGAGGGAAGGCACTCAGTTTGCTCGCAAATCCAGAAACTGATGGCAAAGCCAGGAGTTGAAACTGGCACTCGTGTGTACCAACCCTGGGCTTCAAATCTGAGTTGTAAAAATTGTCTCCTATTCCCTAGTTCTGTCTGTTCTCAGACAACATAGTCCCTTCTCCAGTGAAGGAAAGAAGCAATTAGCAGAGACTCAAACAGTTTTTACATGCACAAGGGCAACCCCAGACTGCTTGAATTCTGGCAGAGTGAAAACCATCCCTGGTTTCTTATGGAAATGCACTCCCTCCTGGGCTCTCAGTCACCTACAAGGCATCCACTTATCAACCCACTCTTGGGATTTCCACCCTTTTAAATTCCAGCCTAAGCTTGGTTTTTAGCAAGAGGATCTAACAAATATCACCAGCCCTGCAACACCTTCAGTCCTGTGACAAAACAGCTCACAGCAAAAGTGCCATCTCCAATGGAGACGTCACTTTGCAAACACACGTGCCTACGAGGGGAGAGCCGCCAGCTGTGCTCAGCGTATTCCATTTATAAAGATGGCTGACTCAACCAGATAAAATCACCCCAGGAGATTAATTTGCCATGAACAAGTTGCTCAGCATAATTTGAAGCTCAAAAGCTATTTTAGTTGCTTTGCAGTCGATAACAGGCAGCTGGCTAGAAGGTCTCCTGTGATGAACAGACAGCTTCCATGAAATTCTTACAGATAATAAAATCTTCTCCCTGATCTTTCTGAGGAAAAACCCCATAACCTCCCACTTCTTTCCTCACATATTCCTTAAGCAGACTGATTTTTAATGAGGTACAGAGAAGTCTGCCTAAGCAAGACCTTTAGGCTTTGGCATAGCAAAAAGAAACATTCATTATATTAGACCATGCTGTGCAGCAATCACAGAATCATATAAACACAGAATGGTTTGGGTTGGAAGGGACCTTAAAGATCATCCAGTTCCAACCCCCCTGCCATCAGCAGGGACACCTTCCACTAGACCAGGTTGCTCAAAGCCTCATCCAACCTGGCCTTGAACACTTCCAGGGAGGAGCAGCCACAACTTCCTTGGGCAACCTGTTCCAGTGTCTGACCACCCTCACAGTGAAGAATTTCTTCCTAATATCTCATCTAAACCTCCCCTCTTTCAGCTTAAACCCATTTCCCCTTGTTTTGTCATTAACAGCCCTTAAAACTGCCCAATCTTTCTGTGTAGTGGATTAACGCCAGCTCTAGGGAATTTCACAAAGAAGAAATAGGACTGACAGGAGAAACACAAAAGTAGATTTATCCCAGGTAAGATGACTAATGAGTTTTCTGAGGTTTAACGCTGGAAGAAACTTTCAGGCTTAAGATGACAGGTAAGATGTTATAAAGCAGATTGCATCGACGTGCTTCAAGTCAGTTGTTGACAAGCAAACTTCAGACGAGTTACCATATCTGAGCTACAAGTTAAAATACTCTCATGGTGTTCAGTAACCATTATGGACACAAGGACCACCAGAGGCATTATACAAAAATCACATTATTAAATAATATTAAATAAATAATCACTCTGCTGCTATTAAGTAGTTATAGCACTCACCCAGCAATGCTGCTATTCCACATCCTTCCTCCAGGCTAACCAAAGACTGTAACAGAACTAAGAAACTACTCAAGTATGATTCCAGAAAGATCCTCCACCCCTCAGAAGATGCCTATGCCTACTATTAATATGTGGAGAGTGGATAAAATCCAGCAATATTGGAGATACTTCAACAGCCATCATGTAGCATCACCTGCTTGCTGTATGCCAGACCATAGTGCTCGTTCTTGTCACTTCTTAAATGAAATAAATGAATCAACTCTTTGACTACACCTTTGAAAAGTGAACATATCTTGGCATATATCAGAATATCCTGGTTTTTCCTCTGAAAGACTGTTTCAGTGAGTAAAGATTTACAGCTACAGTGATATCACCCACCAACTCTTCCAGGTTAAGGTTTTGTGATTTAAGAGGATGGAAAACACACAAAAAAAGGAGAAAATATCTTGGCACAAAGGAAAAATTGTGCCTTTTTTTTCTGCAAGGCATTTAAAAAGGTAGCAAAAGCCACCACTTACCAAAGGTTCTGTCACATTCTCACTTGGCTGCACTGTAAATGCAGAGGTATCCTAGATACAGAAATGAGAAACGATGCAAAAATATGTGAGACAGGATGTTTGCAGATGCCTGTCAAAGACCTGATTTTTTTAAATGTTTTCTTCTTTTTAGAAAATCAGGAAATTCACACAGAATGAGATGACAAATAGATAATCTAAATAGGTATTAATAGTTATTATAAGTTAAGCACTACAAACATTAAAGACATTCCTTTTTGAATGATCTATTCTATGCTTCTAAACCGAGCGATGCCATTAAAGACAGTGAAAAACCCTTCATTAAATACATGTGAATCGCAAGGATTTTGTTTCGGGCACAATGCACTTCTGAGTTGGGAAACTCACTATCTTTTCTGCAGCCTACACGTGCCTGTGCCTGGGCAGTACATTCACTCTAAGCTCCTTTCACATCCTCTTGATTCTGGGCTTTTATTTGAATAGTGACTATAGCAATTACCTGCATTAAAAATGTACAAAAATAGAGATGTTTTCCAAAGTCTTACTAATTCAGAACCAATTAATTTTCCAAATATTGATGTGCCAAAACATTTTCCTACTGCAGTGGGTGCATCAAATTTTGATTTCCTCGGGGCAAACAGTTTGCCTTTATTATCAGAGGCGGTAGCCTTGTGCTTTACCCCTTCCTTCTGTATCCTTTACTAATCTAAACATCCTGGAGCAGAATGGTTAAGCCCTGAAAGACTCATTTACATCCTTGGATAAGCTCAGCTTTTTTGGGTGCTTTTAAAAAAAATGGTGTACAGGGTGTGCCGTGGATGAGCCAGTCTGTAAAAGGATGCTGGAAATTAATGAGCCCCCAGGTTATCCACCTGAAATTTGGGATCTTGGCACAGCCCTGGAATTTGAAAGCATTAACATGGGATCTTCATGCACTGTATCTCTGCGATGCCTGACACAGAGTCTCACCGTCAGCACAGCAGTAAACAAATGATTTAAATTTTAAAATTAGATTAAATTGAATTTAAAATCAGATTAAAATATAGCTTAAATGAAAATAAAGATGCAGAAACAAATACAACTCATTTTAGATATACACACATAGAGTCACTGGAAGTATGTGAAACTGAGAAAACCACGCTTTACAGGAGTTTGGAATTGTGAGAAAAATCCACAAAAGAGCACGATAACAAAGCTAAACCAGTCCTTTTAGCAGGAAAATATCAGTTCCACTAAGGTAGTTGGATTTTTGTTATTAAATTCAGCCAGGCTAAGAGTACCAGGAGTATTAGCATGATTCTAGTAACATTTAGGAATAATTTTTGAGAGCAGGCAAGGTTTGGATTTGATGTTGTGCAGCTCATCTGTAGAAAATATTTCCCCAAACTGTACAGCCAATCCTAATACCTTTCTAAAAGCACAGAAAAAAGAAATAAATCTCAAAATATGTTTATTTCTTACCTGTGCAAATCCATTAAATGCTGTGCTGGATGCCTAAGTAGGAGTGAAGATCAGAACAAATTATCATTTGTTTAATAAATCAGAACAGAGTCAAGATGTTATTATTTGCAAAATAAAAATAGGACAAACGTTTTTAAAAAAGTAAAAACAAAAGGAAGGGTAAGGCAGCAAGAAATCTGATGACAGTGCTATTTGATAACAGGCGTCACAGGCTTAAAGAAAACACAAAAAACAAACCCAAAAAAGCAGAATAACTGAAGGATTTTTATAAAACAATAATAATAATTAAAAAAAGACTAAGTGCATTTAAGGTTATACATATAAAACACAAAACCTGTGAGACACAATGTGCCTTCACAGTTCAAAGCTCCGGTCACCATTTTGAAATGAATTTTTTGTCAGCCTGCTTCATTACACGGCTGAAGGGCCCCACACGATGAGCAGTTGCATGGCAATTAAAAAAAATAATAATTAAAAAATAGCAGGGGCTTAGGAGGGGCAGTGGGAAACACACAGACGGATTGTTTTTTAAACGACAAGGTTATGCATGGCCTAAGGAACTCTTGGTCTAGACTAAGGCTACACACTGGGGTAGGTACCTCTTCTTTATCAGTCTCAATTTCCTGGTACAACAATCCATATCTCCGGTTAGCAATTTCATCTTCAGATAAATCTGAGTTGTTGGTCTCATTGTCTTTAGGACTAGTTGAACTCTCGGTGCTAGCATTTCTGGAATTTCCCACTTGAAACAGAGCCAAGGGTCTAGCTACCTCCTTGCTCGGTCCTGGATTGCTAAAGCCTGCCTGCTCCCCAGGTGAGCCTTGTTTTACTGGTGCCTCCTGACTTTTATTGCTTGTGCTCACACCTACTTCTCCCCAGCTGTTAGCAGTCCCTCCTAGGTCTTGCGTAGACCATCTATCACTAATGCCTAACCAAACATTTTCCATGTTACCTCCCTCTGAGTCTTGTAGCTTGGGGAAAAAGGGCCAATTATCCAGTTCATTGGCTTGGCCATCTGGTAGATTAAAAAATCCCCAGGAATCATTAGTAACTGTTGGATCCCAGTTTGCCAGCCAGGGTTCTGTTTCCAAGGCTTCAGGAACACCACTGCTACTAGAATGCTCTTCAGCGACTGCTGCTGCCACCCTACCTGTCACTTGGTCTTCTGCATTCTCTAGGCAAGGATTACCACAGCTTGTGCTAGCAGCATCAGCTGTCTCGGGCAGTAATGCCCGCTCTTTTTCAGCAGCCGCTTGACCTTCAGCAGCAGCACTACCATTTGGGAGGAAGCTGATGCTATTGTCTTCAGTTCCTTTACCAGACTCTTCTGCACTGAATAATTCAGCATCACACAGAATGTTTCCAGTATCTGTAGGGTCCTTTTCTGTGTGGTCAGTTACCTCTAGATCAACATGTGCCGTCATCTTTATACACTCCATGGATGTACTCTCTCCAGTACCACTGACAGCTTGGTCTAAGCCATCCTCAAATGGCCTTTCATGGTCTTGATCCCAGATACCAAAGACTCTCTCAGGTTCAGCGACAATGTTTTCTATAGTTTTACAGTTGTCCACTACTATTGTATCCCCACCTTCCAGCCCTGTGCTTAACAATGGTATTTCTCCATCTGCCTCCTCAATGACACTGTCCCCTTCGAATTCTTCTTCCCTAGGGTTTGCTACCTTAGCACCACTAGCTCTCCCAGCATCCCCATCATTATCTTCCAACTCATACAGATTTTCTACCTCTGTGCTGACTAAAATGTCAAGATCTGATTTTGCTAAACCCTCATGAAGTTCTGCCTCACTATTTCCTTTGGTTTCACAATCTCGTTTTTCCAGTTCCTCTGTACCTTCTACCTCCTTGTAGTTAACAGCTCTGGTCTCTACCTTTTCACTTGGCTCGACACCTGCCCACTCTTCTTCCTCCCGCTC